ATCTGTAAAAATGAATAACAATATATCCGTAAAGCAGCATTTCTTAGAAGTAGCTACTTATTTTCACTAACAAGACGCCAAAAGTTATCTTCTGCGGTGGCTTAAAATTTAACGTCGCCCTGAAAGTTTGATTTCAAGCTGAAATTATTCGATATTAGTTCGAAAATAATTAGAAATAGATGTGTTAGTTTCAGAGACGTTAATACATCGAAAGGAATTATAATTCACATAACTGGAAATCTCCGAAATTTTTGTTTTAGGTTACAACAAAACAGGATTAAACACATTTTCTACACCAGTTTCAATAACTACCTTCAGATCCCAGTAGTGGTAAATAAATGGAATGCACGAATAATTTATTAAGTGAAGGACTTGCACTGCAGATGTATTGAACGGCTCGGGAGCTTGTACACCAGTTCGTGAAGGTTGAGGTCACAGCTCAGCTCCCGCAAGCACGACTAAGTGAGTAATCCCTTCATTAAAATGTTTTCCCTGGTTCGCTCGTCTATTAATCTCAGCCACTTTCCTACGCACTCGCGGCGCTAGTGGAGATGACAGTTCAGTTCTAATGGTAACTGTTCATGGACTATTTCAGGTACATTTGGTAAGCTTGGGGAGTCGACTAGGCTAAATTAGGTCCAACCGCTAAATCAGCAATTGTTGTAATATTCCGTATAGGCCTAGTTATAATGTGCGGTTGTGGTTTGGTAGTTAATCTCTAACGCTCAGTATTATGGTTCTTTAGTTATAAGGTCCAGCGTACAATAAATTTATCGGTAAACATATACAGTATTTACAAAATGATAGAGTAGGCTAAGGAATGAGTGACGTGGGTTTAGGTCATATTGACCTTCATTCAGGACTACGAACAAATCGAAAAAACTTCGCAGCAAACACTACATTACCCTGAGATTATTCGTGACTAATATATCACCACAAAATGATCGTGATTCATATCACAGGAAAGCAGATTATTAAAAGGACGTCGAGGCACTAATATTTTCTTCAGAATAATATGGGGCACCGTAGGAAAACATCAGAGGTCCACGGTTGTTCAACATCCTCCCAGCGAGCATAAGAAATATTGCCGGAACAACCGTGGACATCTTCAAGAGGAAACTATCTAGTTTTATTCAAAGAGTGCTGGACCAACCAGGCTGTGGTGGGTATGTGGGGCTGCGGGCCGCTCCAAGCCACAGCCTGTTGGACCAAGTTATCACAAGTCGAGCCTGGCCTCAGACCGGGCTCGAGGAGTAGAACAACTCCCGAAATCCTCTGCAGGTATGCAGGTAATGGACTACTAATGCTACCCATATTTTATATCTGACTTTTACATCTGTGATGATAGGTTAGATATGTCAACTGCATGCTGTGGGGACAATGCCCGATACTGGACGTACATGCCAGCATTTATGCATCTACTTAAAAACCTGAAAGATGTTGCCGGTCGTAGCTCAATACTGCCACATATAATACCCAAAGAAGGCTTTTTTATTATATGAATTATACGAAAATAACTAGAAAACCTGTTTTCCAGAAACTCGGAATATGGGCCGAATTGTTGAAACAAAAAAATTATATACAAGCCTCAGTTACAGGCGCGAGATCTCAAAATAAAAAGATGGAAGTTAATAAGTTACCGTGCATAATTGATATAGTGAACATCTTTAAACAACGTATATGTCTGCAATTACCATCAACCTTGGATTGCAAATTGAAAGAATACTGGTTAATCATAAATATGCGCCTGTTGTAACGTTATTGTGTGTGTTGGAGAGCCACACGAACTGCAAGGTAGCAGAGCAATCATGCACAGTTGGTCGACATCATGAGATGCTATGTGCATGTGAACAATCTCATCAACGAGGGTAGTACTGGCCGCAAGCACACCACCACCATCATCAACAGCAGCATCATCAGGCAGGCCAGCATCCGGTGCATGAGGGGAGAGGAGGCTGCAAACACAACCCCAACCCCTCTCCCACACTAAAGGGGGAGAAGACTGCAAATAAGAGGGGAGAGCAGGAACATGAACTAGAGAGCGAGAGTATTTAAGTCATAGTTAGCTGCAATTGTGGGCATTTGCTTCAGCTCCTGCATTCCCGATTTCCAAACTTTGTCTGATAGAATAACTCTCACTCTGTGTTCTTAACGATATGTACATTTGGCAGCATATATGGAGCTAGGGGGTATACTACCTTCCTTTTTAATGCATCCCACTTGTTCACTGCTCTCACAATAAGCATTTCACATGCTCACTACTTACATTTCATTTGTTCACTGCTCACACACTGAACTCGCTACTCACACATACAAATAATCATTTGTCGTAAGATCTTCATTTTAAAGAATACAATTAGCTGTCACAAATGAATGAAAAATTAGACTGGATAACAAGAACCTTCCAAACAAGAGATAAGAGATACCAGACCAATGACGATACCTTGTAACACAATAGTGCAATCTAGGGTTGAATATTGTTGCACATTAATAGCTCCATTCAAAGCTGGAAAAATTACTGTCCTGGAGAATACGGAGATATTTTACTGCCCCACTCCATTCAATGAACCATGTAAATTATTGGGAACGCTTAACATTTCTCAAACTGTATTCTCTACAGCTTTGGCGAGACATACATAAGACTTACGTTTGGAAAATATTAGAGGTACTAGTTCCCAATCTGCACACACAAATAACTCTTCGCGAGACGAAGAGACATGGCAGGAAGTGCATGTGGCCACGTTGAAAAGCAGAGGTGGAATATGCACGCTTAGAGAAAAGTTTATCAACATTAAGCCTATCTTAAGCCCTTCCCTATTAGTGTTCCCTGGTGCACGATCTGTCATTCGGTTTACAACAAGGTCTCCAATTATTGCCGGGCTGTTGCCAATTAGTAATTGAATGTTGCCAATCAATGATCAATCGTCCTTCCAGACGGATGAGTTTTGAAAAAAAGAACAAGTTGTTGATTGGGGTGGGACGACGATCGAGGGATCGGATGCCCTCCCCCCCCCCCCCAAAAAAAAAAAGGAAATACAGCTGGAAACTAAGTACTCAAATGGGCAACGAGACATTTGAAAGAATTTGTTTCATGGTATCCTAGTCGACAAATTAAAAGCACTCTACAACAAAGTGTTGGAGACAGTCACCACAAAAAAAGAGCTTGTACACCAGTTGACTGAAGGATCGGAGGCGGGACTAAAGAGCCGAAGTTCAACCCCAAACTAGCAAAATTAGGAGAGTACCATAACCCCCCCCCCACACACACACATTCAACTACGCCTACACCCAACCCTGCCCCTACCTACACCCTTCCCACTCATTCGTTCCCCTGCTCACCTGGTTGACACTCGCTTAACTCTGTTTGTAGGTGTCGAACTTCAGCTCTTTGGTCTCACCTCTTCACCTAAGTTTTAAGCCGGGTATCTTTAATTTGTTATAACATTTTGTACTCTGCCGAGACGTATTAAATTAATCTTAGACGTATTAGAACCATGAACACTGTCATGGTTCTATTCAATGTTCCAAAATTAACACGGTGGGAATGTAAGGCATCGTGACCTGAATCACGGGAAGACTGGGTAGTTATGCAAAATATCTTTGGAAACTTCTATTTGTGTTACTGATCAGTAATCATTGCTGGGGGAGTCCATTTAACACTTTTATATTTAGTGGACTCTGCAGGAATAGTTGTTTTATGATCGTTAGAATAATTATTATCTTTTATTGCTATAATCCACTCACTACAATAACTAAATTATTGGGACCGCTTAAGATGTTTATATCTGTATTACCTAAAGTACAGGGGGGGGGGGGGAAGAGATAATTAATAATTTATACTTGGATAATTCACGAAGTACGGGTTCCAAATCTGCACATGGAAATAACACCACAGGAGACCAGAAGGCATGGCAGGATGTGCAAAATAGTCCCGTTGAAAAGCGCAGGTGCAATAATTAAGCCGAGATGGAACTCTATAAACATGAAAGGCCCAAGACTTTTCAACACTCTCTACGCATAAGGGGCATAACTGGGCCGGGGCCGACCTCTCAGTGTACAAAAGAGAACTTGATAAACATTAAAGGGATACCTGATCAACCAGGCTGTGATTCATACATCAGGCTACGAGCGGCCTGGCGTACGAATCGGCCTGACAGACCGGGCCTCGGGGATGTTGATCCTCGGAATCCTCGAAAGGTAAGGAAAAGTTAATCTCCGAAGCCAACTATACTGACGAACCCCCAGCCAGGATGCAACCCTAGAGAGGCTACGTGAATTGATGCATCCTTTTCATTTGATTTGTTTATCAATATATACCATATCTTGTGTCCAACAAATACAGGGCTAAAGCTGATACAGTATATAGTAAATTATCAGTCTCGATAATGCCGCGGATGTTTAGTTTGATAATGAAGATACTGTTAAATATATTTATTAAAAAAATATGTAACATTTTCATGAGTGCTGTAATCGTGATTAGCTAAATGAATTTTTGTTCATTTGTAATTTTGTTCATTGGGGGTTCAGTTCCTGAACCCATTATATGCCTCTGAAGTTTTTCCACTGCTGTTCACAGGATGGATATGGGGGCATAATGTATAATGAATGATTTCAACTAAAAACTGCCGTGGGAATCAAAGCAACTGGTGAGTTTTTATTACAGAAAAAAAGGAAAATAACAGCGTAATTCTTGACTTAAGTTATCCAACAGGTTAGGTGTTGTCTTTACAATTTTCTACATTGTTTTATCTGTGGATTAATAATTTACAATATTTCTCAGCCAATACAGTCAACAAAGCGGGGTTTAGAAAATAAGTTTGCCGTTCCTTGTCAATTAAAATCTCACCATACATGCTGCAACACGTTATCTTATCCAACACAAGATATAATTTACACGAATTACCGTGGCCATTAGTGGAGTTTCCTGGTGACCCCAGGGAAATAAGGTTAAACAGGGTTAAATAAGAACAAATTACCATAAATATAAGGTAAATACTTACAGCGAGTCTCTGGAGTCCGGTACGGTGCGATTCAGCGAAATCTTATCACTAACGATAAGATTAAAAGCTTCCTTCTTCATGACTTCTTCCGCTAACCTGCCTTCTTCTCCCGAGAGTTGAACAGGCTTTCCCATCTCTCCCAGGCCTTTTACCACCTTAATTTCGTCTTCTAAAAACCAACGATCAGCCTTCAGCTTCTCGAGCATTTCGTTTTTATTGGGAAGGTGATGCTTTCTTTCCGGAGGCTTGAAGTCTTGCAAGTTGTGAGGCACCTTGGGAGGTGGTAGACGTATCTCCCGAGCGGGCGCGTGGGGCTCCACCTCATTTACATGCAAGATTTGATTGTCTGGTTGAGCTACCTGAGCCAAGGGCTTGTTGGTTTTGGAAATACAGCTGGAAACTAAGTACTCAAATGGGCAACGAGACATTTGAAAGAATTTGTTTCATGGTATCCTAGTCGACAAATTAAAAGCACTCTACAACAAAGTGTTGGAGACAGTCACCACAAAAAAAGAGCTTGTACACCAGTTGACTGAAGGATCGGAGGCGGGACTAAAGAGCCGAAGTTCAACCCCAAACTAGCAAAATTAGGAGAGTACCATAACCCCCCCCCCCACACACACACATTCAACTACGCCTACACCCAACCCTGCCCCTACCTACACCCTTCCCACTCATTCGTTCCCCTGCTCACCTGGTTGACACTCGCTTAACTCTGTTTGTAGGTGTCGAACTTCAGCTCTTTGGTCTCACCTCTTCACCTAAGTTTTAAGCCGGGTATCTTTAATTTGTTATAACATTTTGTACTCTGCCGAGACGTATTAAATTAATCTTAGACGTATTAGAACCATGAACACTGTCATGGTTCTATTCAATGTTCCAAAATTAACACGGTGGGAATGTAAGGCATCGTGACCTGAATCACGGGAAGACTGGGTAGTTATGCAAAATATCTTTGGAAACTTCTATTTGTGTTACTGATCAGTAATCATTGCTGGGGGAGTCCATTTAACACTTTTATATTTAGTGGACTCTGCAGGAATAGTTGTTTTATGATCGTTAGAATAATTATTATCTTTTATTGCTATAATCCACTCACTACAATAACTAAATTATTGGGACCGCTTAAGATGTTTATATCTGTATTACCTAAAGTACAGGGGGGGGGGGGAAGAGATAATTAATAATTTATACTTGGATAATTCACGAAGTACGGGTTCCAAATCTGCACATGGAAATAACACCACAGGAGACCAGAAGGCATGGCAGGATGTGCAAAATAGTCCCGTTGAAAAGCGCAGGTGCAATAATTAAGCCGAGATGGAACTCTATAAACATGAAAGGCCCAAGACTTTTCAACACTCTCTACGCATAAGGGGCATAACTGGGCCGGGGCCGACCTCTCAGTGTACAAAAGAGAACTTGATAAACATTAAAGGGATACCTGATCAACCAGGCTGTGATTCATACATCAGGCTACGAGCGGCCTGGCGTACGAATCGGCCTGACAGACCGGGCCTCGGGGATGTTGATCCTCGGAATCCTCGAAAGGTAAGGAAAAGTTAATCTCCGAAGCCAACTATACTGACGAACCCCCAGCCAGGATGCAACCCTAGAGAGGCTACGTGAATTGATGCATCCTTTTCATTTGATTTGTTTATCAATATATACCATATCTTGTGTCCAACAAATACAGGGCTAAAGCTGATACAGTATATAGTAAATTATCAGTCTCGATAATGCCGCGGATGTTTAGTTTGATAATGAAGATACTGTTAAATATATTTATTAAAAAAATATGTAACATTTTCATGAGTGCTGTAATCGTGATTAGCTAAATGAATTTTTGTTCATTTGTAATTTTGTTCATTGGGGGTTCAGTTCCTGAACCCATTATATGCCTCTGAAGTTTTTCCACTGCTGTTCACAGGATGGATATGGGGGCATAATGTATAATGAATGATTTCAACTAAAAACTGCCGTGGGAATCAAAGCAACTGGTGAGTTTTTATTACAGAAAAAAAGGAAAATAACAGCGTAATTCTTGACTTAAGTTATCCAACAGGTTAGGTGTTGTCTTTACAATTTTCTACATTGTTTTATCTGTGGATTAATAATTTACAATATTTCTCAGCCAATACAGTCAACAAAGCGGGGTTTAGAAAATAAGTTTGCCGTTCCTTGTCAATTAAAATCTCACCATACATGCTGCAACACGTTATCTTATCCAACACAAGATATAATTTACACGAATTACCGTGGCCATTAGTGGAGTTTCCTGGTGACCCCAGGGAAATAAGGTTAAACAGGGTTAAATAAGAACAAATTACCATAAATATAAGGTAAATACTTACAGCGAGTCTCTGGAGTCCGGTACGGTGCGATTCAGCGAAATCTTATCACTAACGATAAGATTAAAAGCTTCCTTCTTCATGACTTCTTCCGCTAACCTGCCTTCTTCTCCCGAGAGTTGAACAGGCTTTCCCATCTCTCCCAGGCCTTTTACCACCTTAATTTCGTCTTCTAAAAACCAACGATCAGCCTTCAGCTTCTCGAGCATTTCGTTTTTATTGGGAAGGTGATGCTTTCTTTCCGGAGGCTTGAAGTCTTGCAAGTTGTGAGGCACCTTGGGAGGTGGTAGACGTATCTCCCGAGCGGGCGCGTGGGGCTCCACCTCATTTACATGCAAGATTTGATTGTCTGGTTGAGCTACCTGAGCCAAGGGCTTGTTGGTTTTGGACCTATCCAGCACTGGAATGTCATTAGGGTCCTTGTGGAAATTTCGTAATGCAAGGCCCTCATTGTCGAGGTTCACATCGTCGTCGTTCTTAAACCAGAGTCCAACGAACCCGATAAAGGTACAAAACGCCAACACTTTAAAGATGAAACTACGTCTTCGTGGATAAAAGAGTTTAACTCCCATCTTCTTGGGTAAATGTAGGTGGTAGTTTATCATGTAGCCTCTACGTATGGAAAAGTCTTATCAAATGCTACAAAATGCCTAGGCGATATTAATTTGACACCACGTTAACTATACTTCAACAAATTTTAAGCACTTGCAATATATATATACAGTAACGTCTAAGTTTGGTCTTTCTTCAAACGGTATTGTGCACCTGAATATCTAACGAAAGCACGTAGATCACTATAAAAACGGAGTCTTAACAACTCGGCAGCGTCTTAACTCTCGAATTAACAAATGTCCCGACAGCACACAACCGCCGTGTAGAGCTCCGTGTAGATCAAATGCTGGAGGAGCAGAGAGGAGCACACCCGCACGCTGCCACGGCTGTGCTCACACTGGCTGCCGCTGCTGCTCTCGCTCCGTCAGCAGACAAACGCTGCACTGTCTTCCCCACCACCGCCTCGGGCACCACCTTCATTCCCCCCAACAATAATCCTCCCCCCACCTGGTCCTTTCCTCTAGCCCGGTCCATCCCATACCACCCATCCGCTAACCCAACTATCCCCTTCATTCCCACAACGCCATATATAAAACTGCTATAGGAGGCAAGGCATAAAATGCAAAATAGCCCCGTTGAAGAGCAGAGGTTAAAACAATGAGTTATAATTGTCAATTACTTTCACATCTTTCAGCAATTCAAAAATGTTGTCATATCTCATTTAATTTTAAGTTTTAGTCATTACATTTGTTCATTTTCTCCTAATATATATAATTTGTGTACGTTATGCCCGCCGTAAAAGCAGTATATCATTTACTAAATTTATTGAATATTTTATGTTTGCCTACTTCCTGTTAGGTATAAAGTATCTACAATCAAGAGATATTATGAGAAACCGGGCCGCGGGGACATTGACCCTCGGAACCACCACAAGATAATGTAAGCCATCAATTAGTTGGTTCATTAATTATGCACGCCATATCTATTATGTGAATGGTAGTGGACCCTATGCCCATCCTGTGGGTAGTAGTGGACCCCATACCCATCCTACGAGTGTTAATGGACCCCATGCCCACCCCTGCCAGTGGTAGTAGACCCCATGCCCATCCTGCAGTGTTAATGGACCCCATGCCCACCCCTGCCAGTGGTAGTGGACCCCATGCCCACCCCTGCCAGTGGTAGTGGACCCCATGCCCACCCCTGCCAGTGGTAGTGGACCCCATGCCCACCCTGCCAGTGGTAGTGGTCCCCATGCCCACCCTACCAGTGGTAGTGGTCCCCATGTCCACCCTACCAGTGTTAGTGATCCCCCTGTCCACCCTGCCAGTGGTAGTGGTTCCGATGCCCACCTTGCCAGTGGTAGTGGACCCCATGCCCACCCTGCCAATAGTAGTGGTCCTCATGCCCACCCTGCCAGTGGTAGTGGATCCCATGCCCACCCTGCGAGTGGTAGTGGACACCATGTCCACCCTGCTAGTGGTAGTGGACCCCATGCCCACCCTACCAGTGGTAGTAGACCCATGCCCACCCTACCAGTGGTAGTGGTCCCAGTGCCCACCCTGCCAGTGATAGTGGACCCCATGCCCACCCTGCTAGTGGTAGTGGACCTCATGCCAACCCTGCTAGTGGTAGTGGACCTCATGCCAACCCTGCCAGTGGTAGTGGACCTCATACCCATCCTGCGAGTGGTAGTGGACCTCATGCCAACTCTGCTAGTGGTAGTGGACCTCATGCCAACCCTGCCAGTGGTAGTGGACCCCTATGCCCACCCTGTCAGTGGTAGTGGTCCCCATGCCCACCCTGCCAGTGGTAGTGGACCCCATGCCCACCCTGCCAGTGGTAGTGGACCTCATGCCAACCCTGCCAGTGGTAGTGGACCTCATGCCCATCCTGCGAGTGGTAGTGGACCCCATGCCCACCCTGCCAGTGGTAGTGGACCCCTATGCCCACCCTGTCAGTGATAGTGGTCCCCATGCCCACCCTGCCAGTGGTAGTGGTCCCCATGCCCAGCCTGGCAGTGAACCTCATGCCCACCCTGCCAGTGGTAGTGGACCCCATGCCCATCCTGCGAGTGGTAGTGGACCCCTATGCCCACCCTGCCAGTGGTAGTGGACCCCATGCCCATCCTGCGAGTGGTAGTGGACCCCTATGCCCACCCTGTCAGTGATAGTGGACCCCATGCCCACCCTGCCAGTGGTAGTGGTCCCCATGCCCAGCCTGGCAGTGAACCTCATGCCCACTCTGCCAGTGGTAGTGGACCCCTTGCCCATCCTGCGAATATCAGTGGATCCCATGCCATCCTGCGAGTGACAACAGAAAAGGAGTAATGGGCGATGGAACTGAACTAAAAAATTTGTTAGAGCAAAATGTTAAATCAATATAACATCTAAATGATTATGTACCAAAGACCTATGTTTATAATCTCTGATTGTTCTGATTGTGTACTCGGACGCCTGATCTTCTGAATGTTTTTTCATAGGGTCTTATGATTAGTTTAGTTCATTTATTATGCACCCCATACCGATCCTGAGTGGTAGTATTAAAGTTCATATAGTCACACATAATGGGCTTATAATCGGAACTGAACCCAAACATTCATTTAGTTAAGCAAGATACAGCCATAATGAACTAGTTATACAGTAGTTTGTCAACATAGATCAATCACTTACAGTTCATCAAACTAAAATCATCATGACCAAAGAAAATCTAACAAGTCCGGTTGAGAATTTTATAGTTATAGTTAAATTAGTGTGGTCTACACTAATCTATGTCCTCGGTTGATGACTTAGGGTCCCTGGTTCAATTCCTGGACAGGACAAACATGGTTGGGCACGTTTTCTTTCACTTAGCAGTAAATAGGTACCCGGGAGTTAGGCAAAAGGTTCTTTAAACAATAATAACTTTTCCTTGCACAGTTTTGAAACTTGTAAACCGTTTGATAACTGTAGATTAAGCTGCCATGATTGAGGGAATGATGTACAGATTTTTCAAGTGGACGTGTAAATGATTGGTAAATCCTGGTATTGGCTACTGTTAAGCATGAGCGAGTCCTAAAGGCCTGGTGCATTTCTGGTTGTCTAGGAAATTCATTTGCTTCTATCAAGTCTATAATACAAAATATAGATTATTTGAACAACAAAGTTAATTTTGTTTAAAATATACTTCAGAGTGCATTGGATAGAAATAGCACACAAAATGCTTGTAAATAGCAACTTTCTTGATCAGCAAATTTTTCATGGCATGCTGTAACACACACATGGGCATTCAGCCTTACAAAGTATCTCCCATGAGATTTTGAAGCCTCACTATTAAAAGCACTGGCATAATAATCATTCATATTATAATAAAAATGAGATAGATACACATCATTAACTCGTACCAGAAGAGGGGCTTCATTAATAACTCTCCTTCCTCCAGGTTAATAGAGCACAAAACACTTCCCACCACATCACGGTAGTATCCATCAGAATTAAGTTTTAGTAAATTTTAACATTAACTCCAACTGATTTAAGTAATTCAACGTAAGAGTTTCAAGTCACTGATAATGGCTGCTTCGTTTCAACAAGCCTGGTTAAAATATTCTGCCCATGTTTGTAAACCATACAACATAAAGTAACATTTACCAGTTTATAAATTAAAATATTTCATCTATTGTTAAAGATGATACCAGTATATGATACTCCCCCCCCCACTGCCTTAGGAGTGGCGAGAAAGTGGGGCATCTAATTAGAGACCACAGGCATGTCAAGTTTCAGACAATTTGAGGTCAAAATTTGGCCCGAAGGTGGTTTGATTCCACCTACACTGAAAACTGTTTTGAGATAACCAACTTGTGTGTGTGTGTTGCATCACGGAACCCTATTGGGTCGAGGTTCTGAGGCCCTCGTTAAATGTAGTAACATCATATACCGTGTGATGCAGGTGCACTTTACCTTGTTCTACCCGTAAGTCAGAAGAGGTGGCTTCAAAAGCTACACTTAACTGCCTCACTAATTAGCAGAGCATGCAGGCCTCTCTTCCCGTGCAGTGCCAATACTCGTTAGATGGCGGGGAGGGGGGGGGGGAAGAGTTAGGCTGTTATCAGTGCTTATGAACTCTTTAGATTGCTCCTATTTTGCTACTTTGTTAGTGGCCAGATTTTTTTATTTGCAAAATATATGTTTCAAGTGAAAATAAACAGATAAATTATTGAAAACAAGTTTATTTACATCAAATGCTTAATGAGTCAATCCATTTATACAAAAACACCCACATCTTTAAAGTTTGCATTACTGTACTCCTGTTCCAGTGCATCTAATTCTATTTAACCTGACTACAGTCACATTTTCATCAATTAGCAGAAGACTTACAAGAAGCCATCTACCACACAGAACTTAATCATCATCTCTTTATTGTCTCGAAGCTAACACAAATTAAAACCATTACAATAATTCCTTAAGAAATGTACTGCATAAACTTAAGATAACTACTACTCTAGATTTTATAAATTCAAACACTTCACAGATTAATTTTTTCAAATATCTATAAAGCAACATGTTGGTATCTAATTTACATTTAAAATTCTATTCCCAGACCTGACAATTTTCTATGTGCCAAAAAACATGAATGAATATGAAAGAAAGAGAAAGAGGAAGTAAAAGCAAGAGAATGCAAGATTGAGAGCTTACCTGATCTTCTGGGGTTGAAATCTATCTAACTCCCACCTCTTAACTGTTAGGTAGCAATGTAAAAGCACTTCAATCACTACCTGTAGTTTGGTTCTCAATAACTCGCTACAATATATGCCTAACAGATCTCAAACCTTGTCCATAGAGGACAAAAAAAAATGTATACAGGCTGGTTAGCATTGTACAAATACTGTATATGGCCATGTCTGTAGGAGACAATACATTAAAAAAAAACTGTTAGGCAACTAGTACAATACAATTATGCCTCCCAATTTTCTAATTCTCAATCAAAATTACTCTTAAAAGCAGTGAATGGAGAAGACTTTCACTACCTCTACTCCCAGTTATTTTGAATGTATGAGAGTAGACGTGTGTGTGTATGTGTGAAAGAACAAGTGTTGCAGAGAGCAGGAGCATGGGAAGAGCAAATGTGTATCAGTATGTCTGCATGTTAATGAAAGCACTCAAGTGAAAATGTGCATACATGCCTAGGTATTTGGATAACTACTCGTTTGTGAATTACAGGAGTGCACTTTAAGGTCAGTGTATATTACCTATTAGTTGTTACAGGTAAAGAACTACAGTATGCTAGTGGTGTCCCGGACATCATCCTAGTATATCTTATCAAATAGCTCTATAGCTACATGGCCTTGGAATGCATAGCTAGTTACCTCCAGATGGGTGAGGGTGGCATTTGTGGGGGGCATCGTTGTGTGTGTAATTACCTAAATGTAGTTACAGGATGTGAACTAAGCTCATGGTGTCCCATCTTCCCAGTACTCTTGTCATCTGATACTTTGAAACTACTGATGCACACAGAAATCACAATAGCATGATATATCAAATGTTGACCGTGTGGTGGTACAGTTAATCAAGGCGCTTCTGGGAACATCCCGTGCATAAGTTCGAACCTTCATCAAGGCCCTTGCGAATTTGTTCATTAAACTACTGATGGTTTTGGCATCCACTGCCGTTTCACTTTACTTGCTCTAGCTGTCTATCACTCTGTTCGCAAAAGAGAACTTTCTAATACTTTTTCAGCATCTTTGCTTCCTTAGCTTGAATCTATGCCCTTTTGTTCTTGAAGTTGCAATTTTCGAGAATTCCTCTGTCCATTTATATGTGTGTGTAATTACAGGATGAGAGCTACGCTCGTGGTGTCCTGTCTACCCAGCACTCTGTAATATAACGCTTTGAAACTACAGTACTGACGGTTTTGGCCTCCTTCACCTTCTCATTTAACTTGTTCCAACCGTCTACCACTCTGTTTGCTTAAGTGAATTTTCTTATATTTCTTCTGCATCTTTGTTTAATTACTTTAAATCTATGACCTCTTGTTCTTGAAGTTCCAGGTCTCGGGAAATCTTCCCTGTCGATTTTATCAATTCTTGTTACTATTTTGTACGTAGTGATCATATCACCTCTTTTTCTTGTCTTGTAGTTTTGGCATATTTAATGCCTCTAACCTCTCCTCACAGCTATGTGTGTGTGTGTGTGTGTGTGTGTGTGTGTGTGTGTGTTATTATAATAATAAAAATAATAAATATATATATACATATTTATTTACTTTGTATTAAATTTGTGGCTTTCCATTTCCAATTGTCATGGACAAGAACTCTGGTCACCACAAGACAGCAGGAAGCTGCCCAACTCCTGCCGAGTAAACAAAGGCATCGGGTAAAAATATACATATCCAAACTTGTCTATCCTGTTGCAGGAACTAAACCCTGGAACTTTCAGTTGTGACCTGACTCTGCTGACCACTTCATGCATATATGTATGTATGTATGTATGTATGTATGCAGGTATGCATACATGTATGTATGTGTGCATGCACATGCATGTGTGATCCCTCAACTTTAGACAAAATGAATCAATCCATTCCAGTGCTAATCATGAAATTCAAGATATTAAGAAGAGACCATTAAATCCTCTCGACATTGAATTCCATTAATCTCATTGAAGCCACATCAGAATTGTATTAAAAAAAAGTCTAAATCCCAAAAGTCTTGCATGATATTTAATATGCTAATCAGTCCTTCAAACAAACAAAAAATATACCTTCTGTAAATTTCACAAGTTTCATACTTGCAATTTTTTTCAAGTAATCAAGGTACAGTATTTTAAATTTGAGTTTAAATCTTAATAAAGTATGGGAAGTGAAATACATTTGTACTGTACTTCCTGTGGCATCCAATAAAGTTTCTTGCAGAATATAGTAAAAAGTACAGTAATAAAAAATGGTTTTAACTAAACATGTTTGAGCAATATACTGTAGTTGATGTTCTTACTACGTTTCAAAATAAACTGGAAAGAGATTACTGGAATCAAAATACAAAATATGGGTTTTGATACAGCAATTTACAAAACTTTAATTTTTTGTAAATCTCTACTTTAAAGTGCAATCGATAGAACTAAAGAACAAAAAATCACTTGAAATATTAAGTAAACTTCATTCTTGATGAATTGACATAATATGGTGTACTATAACACACTTACATAGGTATTTCAGCATTACAAAATATCTTTGACGAGTTGAAATATTAAAAAGAGTTAAAATAGCTAGTGAACTTTATAGCTTGACTTATTTTATTGGTTCTCTAAGAGGAAACCTTTAATCCACATGTGGACGGATTCACCCTATACAAGCAGTGAAGTCACACACACACACGCCAGTCAATACCACCCCAAGCTATCTCACTCACATATCTGGCTACTCTTTCACAATGCACTACCAAAGTCATTTACAAAAACAAATGTTATTTATGGAGGTACTGTACAATGAGGCCTGTTATATCATCAGTCTATAAATATCTCTTGAGGCACTGACAGAAGAAACACATCTGAGACTTGCATAATAAATTATTTACATGTAACACAACGTTTGGCTTAAGAACCAACGGCAAATACCTGCTTCAGATGTGTTCGGCTTAAGTGACAAGACCTCAGGATTAAAGACATGGACCACATATTGCTGAGGCCTTCTCACTCGGGAACAATAGTGGCATGATGATGATGGATGCAACATTTGCACTAATCAATTTTATCCTTATGTGGCCACTGAAAATACAGTTTTCCCTTCATAAGTATACATATAATGTTTCATTATACATGCTAAGGAAAATGTATTGCCTAATCTTCAATATATTGCTAGTTTTTACAGCATTATAATCTTAACATCATTCTGGTAACAATTAATATATCTGAAGCGAAATTCAAATCTCGCTAAGTACTCAAATTAAAAAAAAATGACAATAAGCATGACCAATTTAAGAGAGAATGTCTTCTAACTTGCAATCTCATTCTATGGCAAGACAATGCTAGCAAAAGTAATTACCAATGACGAAAAGCCAAAATTGCTCCTAAACATCTAAATAAGTTTTGCTTCTCAATGGCACTTTTTAAAAACACTGAAAGGCTCACTTTCAAAAATTAAGTTAACATCTCATGTCATGCCTGATTTTACTTAAAGAAAATTTTGACATTGATATCACTTGTAAAGGTAAGGTAAGGTCTTGCTAAAAATTCATTAAGAAGATACACGTGTTGTAATGGGCACTGTGTTGCCACACCAAGTCCCGGACCAGGTGTGTTAACCCTTACATGGCAGCTCGCATCAAATGAAGCTTTTTCATTAGAAATATATAATTATTTTTTGCTTATAAGCCCTTTATAATTATCAAGATTCTACATTCCTCTGGCAATTACCTAATACTGAAGTTGTAAATATTGGTATTATTCAAAAAACATCAATAATTAGAGGCGTTCTTGAGCATGTGATGCCATCGCTCACAAAATTTCTTATTAAAAGATATCAAGTTAGAAACCAATTTTGGCATTTTCCATCAATCATCCATATTTGTTAACATTTTCCATTAAATTTTACAAAAAAAGGAAATGTAAAAGGCCTATTTCTTTATCTAAATTTGAGAAACTGATATCAATATTTAATTAATTTTAAATTTTGTATATTAAAAAAAAAATAATGTACATTTTTAACTGTCGTTTGGAAAGATGAAACTAAACTGGTGTTTTTCAAATATTTTAATAATTGCGCACTAAGGGTTAAAGCACACACACATCATAATGGGCACTGTGACGCTACATGTGTACAGAACCACGCGTGTTAAAGCTCAACATGAGCTACTCGCAGAAAAGCAGATTATACATACATGAAATAACTCGAATGTACTCTCTCTGAATATCATTGCAGCAAGTCTTCTAATATTTGCAATACATTTATCACGAAAGCTTTGTGATATGTATTAACATATTATCTAAGACAATATTTCAACTTTTTAAATACTATATTGCCAGATCTCCAGGATTGTCCACTGATAATATGCTGTAATTTGTTATATAAAACTATAAATATAGGCTTGACTAACTGCAATTATCACAGCATTTTATTTACAATCTACATAAAATGTCAAATAAAATGGAGAATTTGCATCATATATGTATTAACCTGTCCTTCAATATAATTATTATCTTGACAAAACAAAGGTGACATTTGTCATGGTGTACATAATGAGTAAAGAAAGTAAAACAAAGGAAATGTCATAGAATCAGTAAAGTATTAGGAACACAGGACATCAGAAACAATTAAGCTATCTTGAGCAAAAATATCCAAAACCAACTTATTCCATGTAACTAAGTTAGCCTTTCATTACCAGGTAAGTATTCTTGGTGCCATATGACTGGAATGTTCCATGAAAAACAACAGTTCCCTCTCAAAATATAAACTTTCTTCAGCCTTTAAAAGAAATAAGGAAGTTTTTCAGTTCCCTTTAGTCATATTATAAGATGAACTTTTCAAAAAGTTTATCCAAGAAGAGGCTGAACAAGTCTGACACCCGTACACAAGTCCAATGTTCACTGGTATGCTTTATCCCCTCTTCTGGCTTCATACGCAAACTTATTACAATATTCTTCAGAGCTACAGTACCATCATTTCTGAATTTGCTCAGTTTCCTTTCCTTCTGACACATTCAAAATATGCACTAGTTTTCAGAAGTACTTCCTTTAGCACAAAGTATATAGGAAGAACTTCCGCAGCATCATAAAAAAATCACATGTAATACAAGACACTTATGACTCACGAACACAAATCACTTAACATTCATATTTATGCCGCAAGTAAAAAAATGTATTGATTGGATCATCATTGATTTAACTGCTCCAACTCTTCATCTGTTTTAGCTAGAGAATGTCGAGACAGTGTGTTTGAGTTCCGTGAGGGGGTATTTGAGTTTTTCTTGTTTAGGTCCTCCACATCATCAAAATTGTGATTTAAGGACATATGACTCCCCCTTTTAGGCGATTTTTTTGCCTGCATATTTCTATTCGAGTTGGAGGACGTACTGGAGTTGATATTGTTAGAACTGTTGCTATGCCTTGGAGCATTATTGACGCTAGCGGTGTGTGTGGCAGTAAGGCACTGCTTTTCCTGGTCATCAATCATATCCTCAAGTTGCACAGAACCACTTGGGTTGGCTGTGCGATCTGGCATGTTGCTACGTACCACCTTTCGTGACGGACCTGATAAAATACATATTATAAGCATTTTTGACAGACACTTATATTCAAGAACAGATGATTAATATATTGAAAACAAAATTTAATGGCAAATATTCTTAAATACTGTATACATGTACATCTAAGCAACATAAAGACAAAATTACCAATGCATGAAATAAATGGAAATTTAACTGCTACAATTTTTTCAACATTGCAAACAGTGTTATATTGATGGAGTAAATTATATGAGTGATATTGCATGCGATTACCACTTGAAGCTTCAAAACTTCACATGACATTACGGTGAAGATGGGACACCACAAGCATAGTTCTCCTCCTGTAATTACACTTAGGCAATTACTTAGAAATACTCACACATGTTCAGTACAAGGTACAGTAGAACAAGGAGACATTCATGGATGCTCGAGGTGCAGATCAATTAACGAGATGTTAAAACTTTTTTTTAGTGTAAGGGATGGGAGCAAATGGCATGGACTAGAGGGAGAATTCATAGAAGATAAATCAATATGGAATTTCAAGAGTAGTCATGGCACTAGCAAGAAGGTTGAGAGTCACTTCATTACATCAACCAACAGCCCAAAATTAACTTAGTAAAAACTTTATAATAGTACAGTATTACTTACTGAAATTTTCTAGTAGATGGGCAATATAAATTAGTTAAAAATTCTTTGTGTAATTTAGATGCAAAATTTATTCCTTGATAATATTAAATATCTAGATATATATTAAAATCATCTTTACATTTTCAGATTTGAATGCTTAATACCTTATATAAACCGCCCTTCCAATGCCTAGGGTCAATAATTATACACGCAATAGGTGCCTTCAATGTGTATTTTGTGTGAAGAAGGTAAGAAAAGGTTACTTATTAAGGGTGTCCAAGTGCTATCTAATCATAATGGCTTCCTGATTACTTCTAATAATTACCTTGCCTTATTAAGCATGTAGACATGATACATTGCCTCAAATGTAGAATATACCAAAAATTGTATAATGCAAAAGAATAGACAGAAGCAAGAGCTGAGCAAAAAATATTTATATACTGTATTACGAAAGCTTACAAGATAAAACGAAGGTCAAATACTTGCCAACAAAACTAAGAACGACTGGAAGGAGGATTAACCCATGAAGAGCACCTATCACCACCATACCAAAGTACATCCGGAAGTAAAACACCTGAAAATTTGAAACTATTAACATGGACATACACACAATTTATTTTTGTAAGGTGTAATGTTTATAAATTAACAAGTAGGGGAAAATATATATAAAACTACAGGGAGTTCCTGCTCCCTGTGGGAACAGCAAATATTCCTATGAACATTTGCCTTACGAACGTTCATCCATATGATCCTTCTCCCAGATCCCCATATACCCCCTTCATGCATAAAATCATTGTACTGTACTAACTCGCTGGAGCCTCTCTTTGAATTTCGTGGGGATGGGGGAAGGGGTGCGTGGAAGTGTAGGTTTGTGTAATTACCTAGTGAAGTTACAAGACGAGAGCTACGCTCGTGGTGTCCCATCTTCCCAGTACTCTGTCCTATAACTCTCTTAAACTACTGATGGTTTTGGCCTCCACCAGTTTCTCACTTTGCTTGTTCCAATTGTCTACCACTCTGTTTGCAAAAGAAAACCTTCTAATATTTTTCCGGCACCTTTGTTTCCTTAGCTTGAATCTGTCTTCTTGTTCTTGAAGTTGCTGATTTCAGGAATTCCTCTGTCAATTTGGTCAATTCCTGTTAGTATTTTGTAAGTGGTGATCTTATCACCTCTTTTTCTTCTATCTTCTAATTTTAGCATGTTTAACGAATCTAATCCCTACTCATAATGCGTTACGAGTTAACAAGAGTGTGGGTGGGGTGGCTGGGTGTGTGTGATACTCTCCCGATACCCAGTGGCCTCAAGTCCTGAATGACTGACACTCGCATGATTTGATCGTGTTCACTCTGTTGGTGGGGTGAGGCCCTGGCCTAAGGATAGGGTGGTGGTGGGGAGGTGTTTACTCCTGAGGCTAATTACAAAATGGTGGACCACCAATACAGTGCACATGTATTTTCATTTATTTATGTAATTATACCACTTCACTCTTCAAAAACAGCTATCTTTGACAAGCAGGATAACTGCATCATTCAAGGTAAATAATATTGTTTTTTTTTTTTTAAATATTACATGTCCCAAAAATATTGGTTTTGTGAGTATTTTTGGTAGCCTGGGAACAAATCTACTATAGAATATCTCGATTGGCATTCCAAACAAATGCTTTACAAACAGTCTCAGAAAGTAACTTTTTGTAATTGAGGAACTACCTGTATACAGAGATGAAAGATATATTCTTCTCTCCATTACTGTGGAGAGAAGAATATATTAATGGTAATAAAGAAAATATTAATGGGGGTATGAAAGCTACATTACCTGAAATATTTTGGAGTTAGCAAAGGCAAGGACAACCACACCCATGTCACTGAGTGTGATGCCAGACAACACAGATGGTCCCATTCTCACAAGAGCCTTCTTTGCCCTGGTAATTCTGGTGTCAGCTTCACTGACGGCAAATGCCCGGGTAGTGTGAGAGCAGAATTCCACCGAGATTCCAATAGCCACGATGAGGTTCACGAGGGATATAGCATTGAGAGAAATACCCCAGAGGTACATCAAGCCTCCCATGTTGGTTATAATAAGCACAACCATGACCATGATAATCACTGATGAAGAAAAGTCGAAGCCCATCATTATCAGAGTGATGAAAAAGACGGCTGCCACAGAAATTCCTAACATCCGTACTGTGTCTTCCCAGATGCTCAAATACTGTTCGTAAAATACGTAAAACACGCTGAAAGAAGAGAGAAGTAAGATGTTAAAATAAATAAGGCAATGTATAGTATATAAAAGGTAATACGTTAACCATTTTACTAATGAACAACTATTCATAAGAATGAAATACTTTTAATTCATGAGCTAATTATATTAAGAATAATTTTCCCCAGACCAAAAATTACTTAACTCACTGTTACCAACCATCCAGCTATTATAATAACCCCATTTTCTACTTTTGTGGTGTGGGCAGGTGGCAACAGAGGCAACTGTTAAATAATATACCAGGAAGTGAAAAGTAACACAGGCTAAAAATAAACAAATTACATTACTAATGAATTCCTTTTATCACTTACACTGGACAGCATCATGGATCTAAAGGCACCACCACACTAGCAATAATCCACAGCAACACCCCACAACTTTATTAGACCAGGTGTATAGTGATCCTCAAATTGTCAATGCAAACACATTCTTCACTCCATACAAACTACCACCACCCAGCCTTGTTCCTCATCACTTCCCATGTGTTCTTCACAATCAATTTCTAACTCTTTACTCATTCATCACATACTCCATCATCCTTACATTATTCTTCTCCCGACCCTTAAATTCACTTAAACACACACTTCATCAGTCTATCATCATTCATCCACCATGCCCAAGCCATTCATCTTTGTGTGCTCTTCGAATCCTTACAATTTCCCCTGACTGACCTTGCTCTCAACTTTGATTCCACAAATTCCTTTCCATAACATATTCCAGGTATTTAAACTGGTTGATGCCCACTTCCAGCACTTTCACTTTACATTTCACATGTACCCATGTAATTTTTTGTTCATATGAAATGTATTAAAAAGTAAGGAATCTGTACACAAAAGTAAGACGAATGCTAAAAAGTTCCTCACCTGTAAGGGAACACCTTATATTTTGTTTCTCCACTCGGAACTAATTTTCCGTCTCTCTCCACAAGGTTCAGTGTCCTAGTAATGTTATCTGCAATGGCTCGAGCTGCTCGCAGTGCCTCGTAGAACTGGCGGCTATTACGCATGACACTGTGGTACGTCATAAACACACTTGCCCCAGTCACAGGATTCCCAGACTCATCATAGCGTATTTTTACACTCTGTAGATCAAAAAACTAATTTAACCAAGGAAAAACCATCTAGAATACTTTTCTAGTATATCTAAACAAATATCTATTCATGTCGATTAACAAGGAAAACTCGTATCTAAAATATATGGCAAAAGTATAACTAACCTGACCATAGGCAGCATGTCCTGCTTTAGGGCAATACAGATCAGGGTTATCTTTCAGAAACATTGGAAGATACTGGTTGAAGACTTCTGGATCTGGGCGGAAAGGGTTGTTAGGAAGAGGAGAGATTGGGCAGGAGTGGCAACTATTTGAGACGACGTGACGCTTTTTTAATGTTTTGATTGGCATGTTGAGGTTATGATCTCCATTTGAAGCAGTGATTGGAGGGTTTTGATTGTAGTCTGGCCACCCATCGTCTAAATGTGTCTCACGGGATGGAGCTTTTGTTGTGACAACTTCTTTTAAAGAATCAACTTTATGATCACTTAATTTGTTTTCTGATGGTTTAGGATCATCATAATTAAATGATAAATCTCCATAGCTATATGAATAATCCTCAGGATCATCATCAAATGCCTTTGCTTTAGAGTCTGGCTTTACTTTGGAAATCCCTTTAGATTCATAATCATAGTCTAGGTCTCCATAATTGTAATCATAATTGAAGTCGTCACTATAAACTTCATCAAAATTTGGCCCTCCATAAGAAATAGGCTCTTCTGTTATGCTGGACTCATCACCTGCCGTAGCATTAACAGGGACCTCACTCGGATCAAAAGCCTCTAGTTCCCTCCTGCAGAAGCTTCCATCGTCATGCAGGCGGCAGCAGTATTTCCCTTCCAGTGACCATTCAAAGTAATCATCGATCCACGCAGAAGATGGCACAGCGATGAAAGTCCTGTCAAAAATCAATGACAAATATATTATAATTATGCAGAAAAAAATACTACTGCATAGTAAGCTAGGATAAACAAAATTTAGACAATAAAAAAAGCCACAATTCAACATTACCTATTTGGAATTTGAGATGCTAACTTCAGCTGAATTAGCAATGCATCTTTATTGCAGCCAAGATGTGAACAGATCTTATTTTGCATATCATAGTCCGAGAAGTTGTAGCCATGACTGAGAACAAAATACACAGGAGCACCAACACAGCCAAACTTTTCAAGATACTGTTGGAAAAAAAAGGCATTATTAAATTACAAATTCTTTTAACTAAGGAATATTCTGCTGGGCCACTGGATATACATACAAAAACTACTGTATACAAAATGAGTTAAATGTAAATAAAAATATTAAAATTTGTAAGATCTTACTATTATACTTATCTGCTTTTCCATATGAAATGGGAGGCAATCAAGCATATAATCCTGATTAGAGCCTGCCACAGTCTCCTGACCAGAGCCCGCCACAGCCCTTGATAACACATGCACTCTTATCCCGCTCCCATACCCTCTCACACACACATGCACAAACTTGGAAAGGTGCAAAGACATGCAACTAAATGACTCCCAGAACTGAAGGACAAGAGCTATGAGGAGAGGTTAGCGATATTAAATATGCCAAATCTAGAAGATAGAAGAAAAAGAGGCGATATGATCACTATGTAAAAAATACTAAAGGGGGATTGATAAAATTGACAGGATAAAATTTATATACATAAAAATGTACTGATAAATTTACAAAAATTCACTTTCGCAAACAGAGTGGTAGACGGTAGGAACAAATGAGGTGAGAAATTGGAGAAGGCCAAAACCGTCAGTAATTTCAAAGCATTATACGACAAAGAGTACTGGGAACATGGGGCAACACGAGCAAAGCTCTTATCCTGTAATTACACTTATGTAACTACATACATTCACAGCAGCTATACACTTTACAACACCAATATTATTTCCTCAGATCAGTACTCAACTTACCTCAAAATATTTCAACACATATGAGTCATCAGGCATAGAAAGCTCTTCCTCAAGACCAATTTCAATGTGAGGAACCATTGCCACAGACGCACACAGCCAAAACATGAACACAACCACCACCACGGCACGAACCCAAGGGCGCATCAGGAATGGTGCATATGTTGTTTCAAACACCTGGAATACCAATATCATTATGTCAAGATCCGTATTATTTGTGTTAATGATTAGGCGTGTGAAAATTTAAATAAAAGATGATAGGACTACAAATAATGTCAAGTAAAATAAAAGAAAAAATTAATATCGATATTAATTAATTTTTTAAATCATTTACAACTACAGTACTAGAGTTGATTGGAAATCACATGTAACATACAGAAATGAATGTGACAAAGAACATCTGGTATGGTCTACTTGTGATTACTGTATTATTACAAAAACTGCTTAAACTCAATAATCCAAATTATATGGTGCGCACCCCAGTTTGAGTTACCCAAACATTCGAGTTAGTTGAATGTTTTACCAGTAATGTCTAAAAACTATCTAATTCTCAACGTTTTGTACCACAACCCAGTTACTCCCACAATTTATTCATCCAGTTCTATTATACACCCTTGCATTTTCATTGTCTACCTATTTACTCAAAAACGATTAACACAAATTTATTCGGGTTACCTGAAGATTTATGTTACTGCAATTTAGATTACCAAGATCTTATAGTACTGTACTACAATAAAAAATGAAGATTATATGTACCTATACAGCAAGCTTGGTACCATATGTGTGATTGTATATATTAACAGGCAAAGTAGATGCCTTCACATGATTAAAAATTAACATTTACGCTATAACATTTACACGAGCTAATCAACATTTGTTCAGTACCTTGTGCAAAAAGCGAGTTTCAGAGTCCTTCTCCACTTTACTCTGCCGTATGCAGCAGCACACGTCAAATCGATTGTCCTAAAAAGATGGAAAACAATGTCCGAGGTTATTTCACAAAATAAAATAATTGAGAGAGAGAATAAACAAAACATCTAGTTTATCCAATTTACAGACCATGTTCCTTTATGGCACTGATTGTTAACAATAAATAATTACATTATCCTTATTATTCTTTCCCCTTTCATGACATGGAATGGAATCAGCCCATAGAAAATATGTAATACATAGAGATTATATATTCTAAAAGTTAATAATATCACATGCATTCATCACGTCGCTTACATTATGAAGCATGATCGGCAACAAGTACCACCACATTCGTTCAGTCAACCACAACAGCACCCATCTGCTTCATAAAACAAGGTGTACTGCACTTTCATTGTGCAGTACAAATACATTTGTCTCTCACTTGATAAACTGCATCCACCAAGCAGTGTCCCATTCCTTACATATTCCAACCACTTGGACTGGACGGTAGAGTGACGATCTTGCTTCATGCAGGACAGCGTTCAATCCCTAACCGTCCAAGTAGTTGGGCACCACTCCTTTCTCCCGTCTCATTCCAAATCCTTAGCCTAACCCCATCCAAGTGCTATAGTCGTAATGGCTTGGCATTTTTCCTTTATAATTTCCCTCTTTACATATTCAATGTGCCTTATCTACTTGTCCTCTCTCTCCTCTGCCGACCCTTACATTTACTGGAATACACACACTTCCCAGTTTATCACCAATTAACATGCCCAAACAATATCTGAACACTTTTCTATCTTGCTGATTGTTGCATCATGACAATTTCTCAACATAATGACATGACAGTTCTCAATAATTATTAATTATACATAAACATATATAATAATACATTTATTTGTATACATTATCATGCAAAATGTATACAAAAACATAAAAAAATTCTACTTTTGTGGTTTTACAAGTTTTAGGAGGAGAGTAGTAGGGGCTCATTGTGTCACTCAATGCCACACACTAAAGTGCTGACATGAAACATTCAACTTAGTTGGTCTTTATGTTTGTTGCTTCACTTACTAGTTTACATTATATATATATAAAAAAAAATTACAAAATGACTATTAGGATAAATACTTATTGGATTTTTTTTTTTTAAGCTTCGGGGCCATAACACCTCAAAATACAGTATGCCATTCATGCCTATATATAGTCCAACACAAAACGCATCTCGGATTATCTTTTCCTACAGCTCTAAATCTGATCAAATTTATACGACGCCATTGTTTCACATCCAAGCATATGATTGGCATGAGCACCCGTTCATGGAACACTGGGGGACATCCATTCCTCTCTCGCTCTTTCTAACCAAGGCTTCATTACACCAGTCACCTTCCATTACTCACCCTTTCAGTATGAGGACTCTGCAAAAATTCATCACACACAAGCCAGGTATTTGAACCGATTGGCCCCTTTACACACTTCATCTTTCACATTCTTACCAACACTGTAATATAGCTCAATATATTAACAAAATACCAGACTATTACCTCTTCTCTGGTAACATCAAGGGAGAAAAGTGAAACAAACAGGGTCATCTGAAGAACAAAGTTGATCAGCAAACTCATTCCTGCATACATGGCAAAGGCCCGTACAGCTGGCATGTCCGAGAGAGCACCTGAAGGCAGATAGAACAATTTACTGAGTGAATGTGCCTAACAAATTCGTTACACAATTAACAAATCTACTGATTATTTTTTTTTTGTAATTCCTTATGAAATGTGACTGGGTAAAATAATATATTCACCAGTAAAATAATATACTTTAAGACATAACACTGGTAGTAAAAAATCAACAGAATTAACATTACGAACCCAAGAAGAAGCAACAAGACTGCGAAATTGACGAGAGAAGCATGGAGGGGCCAACGGCACCAACAGCTCGACCGATCAGCTGTGGTCGCGTGTCGTCCTCAGAGCGGTCCAAACCAGCATATGCTTCCACAAGAATAAAGATGTTGTCGACCCCGACCGCCAACACTAAGAATGGAATCACCTGGAATGAAGAGCGTTTTCTAAAGTTTTCTACATAGATCAAAATATTACATTCTTAAATGTAATTATATATCCAAATACTATGTGGCTATGGATTCTTAGAACAAATTTAAATGTAAGCCCTAAATGTTAGTGTAACACACACACACGCATATATTGTATGTACAATACATAAACTCAGCCAAATACATTAAAATGATAAAAATCCATAACATTAAAATATTTGTGATAATATATGTAACTACTAAGTAAATAATCTTTAGTAAACAAATATCCCATATGTTTCCACAACTCAAAACTGCACCCTTAAATCTTCGTTTTCATACAAGGACCAAATAAACTTAACATAAACCCCATATAGTGTAATAATTTCAAACTAGCCAATTTCTATTTATAGACAAGTTTTACACACACACACACACACATATATATGGTAATCAGTAGCATGAATCTTGTCCAACAAGAGAGAGATAAAAGTTCTTTAATTATTATTTATATAATAACTCTGTTCCAGCAAACATCATAGAAAGGTTGACATTTAGTCCTTTTTTGTTGACATTTAGTATTACCCAGAATGCCATATGTCCCAGAGACCTCATAAATGTAAATACAGTGCATTCAATCACCTTTGTTTTATAACATGACCTAGGGTCCAAGAGACAGCACTTCTGTTCAGGTCAATACGATTGTGTACAAGACTGCTCACATATATTTACTCCTAATTTTATATTATAGAAACACAAGGAAAACTGATGGGTAAATTATAAACAAATTGACTTAATTTGCCTTGCACTTATTCAAGGCATGCTCAGTTTTTAAATAAAAATTCATAACCTTAAACTGGCAGTTGAAAACGTGATTTATAAACGCACGAGTCAAACGTACTGAAATAAAATCCCTGGTCAACTATAGTAACATAACAGTATGCGCTGCTTACCTCAATGATGAGCATTGTGCAAGGAACACCAACATAGCCGTAGAAACCAACTGCTGCAAACACCGACACCAGTACGATGAGCACCCCACCCAGGCCAAGTGTCACTTTGGTCGAGATCTGCAATAAAATACACGATTAATATTGTCCTAAGAAATCCTGTATTATACGTGCTATATTACTGTCAACAATATGTTAAACACACATATACAAATATAGAGGATTTGACTGCACAATTCCCTGTTATACAATATAAAACAGCTTTGCCATTTTACTGGGGGCCACTTCCCTTTCTGCCCCCATACTTTTTTAAATGAAGCTAAAAAAAATGTACTCCTGGTCTGGAGGCCAGAAGTCTGGATGAATGTTTCAAGACGTCGAAACTATTTTCTTGTAAAGCGGTAAAACTTGCTACCCACATTGAATGACTTATGTCATTTGGATGAAGCCACATATTGCAGTGTACAGGCTAAACACGATGCATACTCACAAGCTCATCTTAAAAGTATTACAAGTAACTCACCAAAAGGCGAGTAAGTTGGTTGGTGTGCCCCAGTGCCAGTGCTATATAGAGGAACATGATGACATACGAGATGATCACTGTGGGAACATCAGATTTGCTCATTCGTACCAGTTCATCTTCAATGGATCGCTCAGAACGAAAAGCGATGTCCATCATGGGATGAGAGTATTTAAGCATAAACTCGTTAAACCTGTAAGAAAAAAAATCTATTTAAAAATTTCCAATAAAAATAAAGCTGACAAAATTATTAAATATAATTCAGTGAAAACAGGCCCTGATGAATTCAGAAACACCCTGTTGTTGGGTGCTGTTGTCCTGTGAACGATTTTTTCAGTCCTTTTGGTACAAGCGTAACTGATAAAAGACACATGTACCGTAATGTACTATACTGTATATTTTAATATACTGCACATTATTTTCTTGTATGAAGTAAGTTTTTTTTTTTTTAAGCAAAGAATATTTTATAAATCCTGCTAATTCCTTCAGTGGTATAGGGAACCTCATTTGGCATTTGGTCACTCAAAGATGGAATTCCACTGCAAAATAATAAATAATGTTTTCCTCCATATTATATTTATATTTATTTATATAGAGCAACAAATGCATTTTTTATAAGTATAGAAAAAAATTTGGAAAATTTGGAAAAAAAATGTACTCTACAGTATTTTTGTTCCTCAAATATGCTTGGAGTCTCGACCGAGCCTGGACCTGATGCATTATACCAAAATGTTACTACCTTTATACATGTTCTATATCCAATTAAGCTAATTAGTATCACAAAAAGATACAGCAAATCAATTTATCAGCTGCTAACTTTGTTGATTCATCACTGATTATTTGCCAAGAAAACTTGCACGCATATTTACTTCATCGGAATACAAAAAGTCATGTGTACCTCCTTCCATTATTTTACATCAGTTACAGCCATTTAATATACTGTACTGTACTTCTAAACCTTGTCAGCCTTTGAACACATTATATCATATAAATAAAGAAAACATATTCACCAATTTTTATGAATATAAATGACTTACGCTTTTTCCCATGCCAAAGCAGGTTTAAGCAAAGATTTGTTGAAGAAGTTGTTGATTGGAAGTGTAATGACTAGAGTGTTAGCCTTCAAGTAATTTGGGTCATCAGAGAGGGTTTGGTTCGAGTCCAAAAATCCCCCAAGAGCCACATGAGGGAGAACAGGACCTCCGTATGTTCCCATACACTGTTCTTGGTAGGCATTCCTGTATGAAAAGAAATAAGCTTTTATAAAATAATTACCCTTTATATACAAATACTGTGATAACACTTATTTCTAAAATACATGTTTTATGCCACAGGTTAGAATATTCAATTTCAAACCAATTTAAAATATTAAATTATATAATATACTGGCAGTATAACAATAATATATACAGTAATAATATAGATATTATAATAATACAATATACTGTATACTGTAATATATAATAATATAATATATACTGTAATATATAATAATATACAACATACTGTATATTATAATGTAAAATATAAAAACATATAATAATGTAATACAGTATATAAATTTAATCCAGCACAGTAAAAATAACCACAGCATTTCCACTACCATTTCCACAGCGTGTAAGTCGTGATGAGTGATTCCTAGTCACTCATCACAAGTTACACGCACTACCATTGACTAAGTTATTAGAATTACATGCAGTTTTTGCTATTTGCCTCAAATGCCTAACTTTTAATAATCTCCATTTTCCACTTGTGTAAGACTGATAATCCTGATGTCCTGATGACCATAGAAGCAAGAAAATCAAATTGTTCTCTCCTCCAGACTAGCAGAGGTCAGCAATCTGCAGGTTGAAAACCTCCCAGTGTAGACAAAAGCATCCAATAAGAATGTAATAACATCTCAAAATATAAGTGGAGCAGTGCGAGATTTGAACCAGTGTCCTGGTGAACATCGGAAAAATGGCTTGACTAACTCTGGATGATGGTTCAAATCCCTACACTGCTCCGACTGATCTCATTGATATTTCTTGCAATTTTGTTGTGACCTTAAACATATATCTACCTTAATTTCAAATTATGTGTATTGTCAATACCATAACCATTCATTTATTACTAACAGATAGCATACGAAATCTTAACTTGCAACAATACTTGAATAGGGTACTAATCCAAGGTCCCAGTAGTACTGTCGGCTTCATTCTCGATGCACGACCAAGAATTCAGGGTTCGAATCCCTGGTGGGACAGAAATGTTTGGGCACATTTCCTTTCACTTAATGCCTCTGGTCACCTAGCAGTAAGTAGGTGCTCAGGAGTTAGTCAGTTTGTTGTGGGGTTATCCTAGAAGTCAGTAATTCACCCTTGAAATGGTGGGGAGGGGGGGGCTTAATAAAAAAAAAGTCTAACATGTATAAATATTATTATTATTATTAAATTTAGAATAGCATATAATTCTTATAATTCATTTTGTCATGGACAGGCAGCCTGTGAATGTATATGTGCAAGGCTGGTCTGGTCGAGGACTGGGCCGCAGGGACATTGAGCCCAGAAATCATCGCAAGGTAAGGTTCATCATAGTACCCCAAATGTCAAATTACCGACTCTCCCTAGTATGCAACACTAAAACAGCTGACTAGCTCTCGGGCACCTATTTTCTGACAGGTGAACAGGCATTAGGTAACAGGAAACATACCCATTCATTTCTGTCCCGCCTGGGATTCAAACCCGGGATTCCTGAATCTGAGTTGAGAATGAACCAAACTGTACTACCGAGACTTGTGAAAAATATATATTCTTCCAGTACTATGTAGCTGAACATTGACATTTTTTGTTTTGTTTCCTATCAATGATTATTTACGATACTTAGATTCACTTTGTAAATACAACAACTTGATGAGCGAGAGAACTGAAGGATTAACAAATATGATGTACATGACAAACCAATTAACTTACCCAATACAGGACTTTGCATGCTGAGTATTGGATTTATTGAATGTTGCTTCATCATTCTGCCAGAAATTGAGTACAGACTGGATGTTGCAGTTATTGTTTTCAGGTGCAAGAGGCTTATTGCAAATGTTTGTCAAGAACACATTTTTCTCGTCAACCTCCGCTGACAACTGTGAAAAGTGAACAGATATATGTCAACATGCAGAAGTTTGGTAGCATTATATACAGACAGGAGTACTGTGACTAAAAGACAATACAGTATAAATATATGTATGTGTATATGTATGTGTATATGTATGTATATATATATATATATATATATACACATACATATACACATACATATATTTATACTGTATTGTCTTTTAGTCACAGTACTCCTGTGACTATATATATATATTATATATATATATATATATATATATATATATATATATTATATATATATATTATATATATATATATATATACAGTATATAATATACACACTTTTAGAAGTGAGAACTCTCTCACAGACCCACACAATGTTTCAAAACTAGATAAAACTAGATATAATTACATAATTATAATTATGTACGATAGTAAAGATGTATTGATGGTACAATATATTCCTACTTATTATTTTCTGGAGGTTACAGGAGCAAATGCTTTCTTAAGTTCTAGCCTTGTTCTGATATTCCTTCTGACTGAATCAGATGATGGTAAATAAGATTTGAAGCCATGAATCCCATGAGCAATCTTTGAACTGTACAGTACTGGCAGTTGATTATCTGTTGACACTTCAATCATGACTGATTCAAGAAAGGGATCGGAGGGTAGACGACGGGCATTTCCAAGGGGAATTTTCAAGGCACTAAGAATTTCATTTAGGGGGGGACTCTACAGGAATAATTGTGTTAACATAGTATTTTTAATTATCGAGTGTTATCAACGAGTTATTATTGTTTACAAACCCTGACATCAAAAGAAACATTGTTATATCTTCAGTTCCAAAACAGGTATTAAAATAATGCATAGATTCAAGAAACATTTACACAATAGCATAGCTGCATTAACTCTTAATATTCATCTTGAACAGAGACTGGAATAGTATAAATACACAGAATTTTGAATGCAAGAAAAACAATTTGACCCTAAAAATACTCAAAATTTGGCCGATTTAAAATAGGTTTAGAAGAAATTGATGAAATAAGTAAGTTTTTGTTTAACTTCTAACACCACTCAGACAAGTATCCACTACATAACACCTACCTCATTTGTAATGTAGTTTTGAAACCTTAAGACTTGAAGCAGGAAGGTCTTGTTGTATACAGGGCCATAGGTATCACCATTCAGATCAAACTGCAAAACAAGTTTCCCTTCACTACCAGGCCTCACAGTAAAAAATTTACCAATAATTTCACTTTTATATCTTCCATTTTAGATTTTTTTTACTTGCAACTTTAACCCAAGTTATGAATCTAAAATAAAGCATGACATAAGTATCAACATAAATACTAAATTTAAGTTATCCAAATGGTGACTGCCCCTCACTTGTCCTCGAAATCTAAATGCAATAGGCACAGTTTTACGCATCTGTTACTACCAAAATATAATCAACATCATTCTCGTAGTAAAATTGCAGTAAATTTAACCTTATGTCGTTAAATTCAAACCATCCATTTGGCTTGGATAAAGTGACAATACTTACACTCTCAATGCCAACTGGGCGAATGAATATTTGAGCAGTGCGATAGAATGGCTCAAAATTCTCGTCATAATAGTCTTTTTCAACACGAGCTCGTGAATTAGGAGAAGCCCATAAATCCACAGGATCCGTAGTGATTTGTAGGAAGATAATGCCAACACACAATGATGCAGCAACAATTAGGCCAATACCCATTACCTTCCACGGGTGGTAAGCACACACTGAAACAAGTAAATACAGTATTAATAATAATATTAATAATAATATTAATAATAATATTAATAATAATATTAATAATAATAATAATAATAATAATATTTTACTTAGGAAAAGTACATACATACAGTTACAAACATTCTGATTGATTTATAGATAGAGCTAGTACATACAATACCTAAAGCCACTAGTATGCATAGCATTTCGGGCAATTATTATTTACTATTATTTACAAATATTATTTACTATTACCGTAATAGTACATTTGCCTTCTCAAAACGGAAGAATGGCTAACTAAATACAAAGCATTAAAATCGGTAATCAAAATTATGACAAGTCTGTAAGATTCAGAAAAAGTCCACTTTAATTAGAATGTGTGGAAAAAATACTGCAATGCCAAGTTAATGATCATTTTTTTATTCTCTATATACAGTAAATGTATTCAACCCTCTGTATGTGCATGTTTGGTATTGGCAAAACTCACTATTCAAAATGTAGATACAGGTGTATATAAAAACAAAACTTCAGTCACTAAGTACTGGGTTCATTAACATTTTAGCATTCTGATAAACATTAAAGCTTGTCATCCATACTTTAATACAAAATGTTTCAATGATGCTAAACATTAATAATCTGGTCTCGGGATTTCCTTGGCTCATAAGCACTGTGAGAAAAGCTTAACAGGTACTTACATGTTCCCCATTTGGTGAAGAGATGGTCCACAGTTGTCTGGGTCCAATTGGTGATATGTTCAAACACAGATAATTCGTCATGCATTACTATTTCTGGCATGTCCCCTGTAGGTCTCCCTATGGATAAGAATAAAGACTATTTTAAAAAATAATACATAGAACAAACAATAATATTAAGGAGAGATATATATGACAAATATAAATTTTTTTGTTTAATTTTGGCTGTCCAAGAAGTTCGTAAAGAAATACATTAACTGATTAGCAATTTGAATATATATGGTAGTGGATATTTTTCTAGTGTGATGAAATGCTATTCTCCAATGATTGTACAATATGTGGAAAATATTTTGAAAGCTTGAGTGCCTCTCAGAAAACCTTAAGCCCTCTTATAACGTTCTTGCATCCTTTCTGAATCAGTGCTATGCATCCTACAAAAGCAGGCTTTGGAGTAATAACTGGACATATTGATGCTACAACAGCAGGAATTGCAAAGACTAGACATGATAACTATAACTACTGAACTTTAGTTGTAGATTAATGTAGAAAACACACAAAACAAAAATGTAGATACTAAAAACATGAAATAAATGATCAAACTACCTATATGATCTGAAATTACACACATTAAAATCAATTGTTATAATGTAATATTGTCAATATGATATAACTAAACATTCCATTATAAATTCTCTCACAAATTCAATGCTAACTTTAAATCAAAATCCTGAAATATTTACTAAGATATTTACGAACAAATATTTGAGCCAACGGTAAATAATACCGTCTTCAAGTCATCAGACTGAATGTTTATCGAAATCAAACGGCTAGTTTGTAGTGTAATAAAATATCTATATAAAATAGCACATTTATCACCAACCCATATACCAGCAGAGCTAGCTATTTGCCTTCACCTACCAACACAACTACCCACCCCCACCAACCAATGTAGCTACCCACTCCCATTAACCACAACAGATTTCTTCCACTATTATTTGCAAGTGTTCTTACCATGAAGCAATGAGTTCTCATCTTCTCCAGCAAACTGTGCTTGAGGATCAGAAAGATGCGCCAGGCGTCTACCGACAGCAGTACGTATTTCTTCAGGGTGACGCATACTACGCTCTACCATCACCGCTACAGAGAAATTCAACTGTTAGTGTTGTGCTGCTTTCCTAAACTAAGAATGATTTTAGTGGGCTTTAGTCATGTCTAATAAATTATTTGTAAAACATACATGTTCAAGAGAATGTCAAACTGGTTTACTACCTCTAATATATATCAGGAGAAGGGAGAACACGACACACACATTCTGATGTTGCATCACACCCTCCATGCACCATGACTAGTTGCAACAGAATCTGCAGCAAATGCACATCATTCATCTTTAACATTTGTTCAATACTGCATATAACAAGAGAGTACGTCTGGACTGAGCCGGACATGATGCTAATCTGTGCAGATGCTGTTGCAAATTCGGTCAATACCCTATACCTGGAATTGTCTTCTGCCGCTCTTTATCTACTCTTATCAGCAAGATCAACATCTTTAGTTCCTCTGCAATTAGCATACCAAAATTAAAATGTAAAAACAAAGCAAATGAAAATTCCAAAATAAGCCCCCAGACAAAAACAGAAAAGCTAAAACAAGCCATTTCCTAAGAAAGAAGTATTGTATCGTACAATAATTCTATAGAACAAATACTGTTGTGTCTAGTCTTAATAGATATACTACAGTATATTAAAAATATATTTCTAACAGATGTACCGTATATGCTAGAAGATAAGCCACCCATATTTTCAGCTGCAGGGTGAGGCTAGGAAATTTTTCATGTAAAAATGCTTAGAGTTCAATTCAAAGTTGCACCCAGAAGCTGAGCCATCACTTTAAAATCCAACATCAAATCATACAAATTCAAAAATACTCTAAACATAATAGATTATCCTACAGTGTATGCCAACATGAAAAGTGGCTTTTAGAGGTAAATAAGTTTTCCTTGAAATTACAGCAATCAACTTACAATCACTAATACTAAAAATGATGGCATTACAAATGACAATGACACTGCTCTGAGAAATAATTTTGATGTGGCAGGAATGTGAAGGTAAAAGACATCACACTACTATTTCCATATGGCAAGCACTGATAATTTTATTATTATTGTACTTCAATGGTGAAAAAGCAGATGTTTAAAGTTTATACACATTTTAAAAGTGGGACCAATGAGTGTTTTGTTATCAAGCACACGTATCACACTACATACTGGTATTGCTAATGATTACATAATGCCCACATGAGTGTTTTGGTTTACAATCTACCAATCATGATTGAACAGCTCTGAAGAGTATTCTGGGCTTCTAATTTGGTTATCTTCAAAAAAAGAGATTCTTTCAAAATCTAATACAAATCAATAAACAAAATATGCTACATTATACCAACCATAATAAAAGTTACTTACAAACTGGTGGGAAAAATGCATACTGCATATTCAAATTCTACCAACTGAAAAATTCAACTAAGCAGATCCAAAGAAAAGCTTTGTCAAAATGCAACTATGGTCACCAAGTAACCCTAAATAACAAATGTCCAAGAGTAATGTGCTATGGTAGTATAAACTGTAAAAGTTCAAGAGGTACCGTTATGTTCCCCACAACAACTAACCTGTGTATCTTTTATTACGCTTGTGGCAGTAGGCAAAGATCACCAAGAAGGAGACGGAGCACAACACTGCAGTCAAGGCCATTGCCACAGCCAAGCCGTCGTAGCCGAACATAATCCACGGTTTACCAGGTGCATCCCACGTGTCGGGTATGACAGGACATGAACTCTGGCAGTCCGCACATGAGCAAGCTATACTCCCCTGATAAAAAAGAAATACATCATATACAATTCTGCTAATTCTGCATCTTCCTAGATGTTTACACCTTGAGTTATTCTGTTAGTTATCGATAGTTTATAGATCATATGTTAACCTGAAGACAAAATATAACACCTTACATTTGCCTGCTACTATTACTACTACATTTGAAAAATATAAATGTTCATGATTTTCATAAGAATGCATAACATCAAAGAAAAAACTAAAATTTGAATTCAAACTTGACATTTGTATTTACCAGGTATATATATATATGTTTCAACATGTGATCTGTAGTATATCTGAAGAGTACCTGATATTTTGTATTATGAAACAAAAGTTTTTTAGTACAGTAGTTGACGAAGAACCAGCGACCTTACTATAATGTAAATATGGCAAAGGCAAGAAAATAATAAAAATGAAGAGCAGTATAAGCCACAAAAGTAACTACCCTTTAATTCTTGGAGGATTAAGACTGGAAATACAGTATGTGTGTTATGATTTTGACTTAAACATGTACTGTACATGGAATGAGACAAGAAAAGTCTCGAGCAAAGGATAAAATACAGTACACTGTTTGGACTCTTGTATCATACAGTCATAGAAAGAAATGAACTAGAAATAGGCAAACAGTGTACCGTATGACAAAAATACGAGATAGGAAAAGTAAACATAGTAACAAAGAAGACAACCAACAACCTTAGAAGAGGAGTGGTTGTATTAGTAATAGAAGGTCCCAAGGATATAATAAAAATAGGATAACAGTACACACAAACATACACTAAGCTAAGAGGTCTTTTCTGCCTTTAATACTAACTTCCATTCAGTTTCTAAAAAAAAAAAAAGAGAACAAGCCTTAGAAGTACCTGTATATGCATTTTTATTTGTTTCAATGTTCTTTTATTATACTAAACTCTATTGTCCATGTATAGCATGACAAGTACTATGCAAGAAGAGTTATAAAAAAAAAAAGGCACTTAAAGCTATTAGCAAGATACATTTCCTTAGGGTGGAGAACATCTTATTGAGGAATGAACAAAAACAATTATATACCTCTAGCTCTAAATTGCAAGGTTGTGCAGTTTGATTCAGAGGTATGATGCCCTCAGGACTCTCCTCCAGATCTTTCAAGTATTGGTACTGGATGTTTATTGGGGTATGGCCATTTACTTCAAAATTGCCCAAGTAATTAAAGAGCCGTTCTCCGGTGCAGCGAGCAGCGCCCCAATCTCCACAAAACAATCCTGAAGATAAAGGTAATATGTAGCCGTAAATAAAACCCATTTATAAATTTTTTTGTTTAATAATAAATGATTACAATAAAAACTAAACCCAGTCAAGCTCTTTCAGCTAAATGGATGACTGACTTTAAAAACATTATGATCAATAGTTTTTAAAACAAATTTATTGATTATAGTACAGATTGTTGACAATATAGAGAAACACCAAGAGAGACTATCTATATAGTCTCTGTTTCTCTACAGACTAATCTTGTTATAAAGATACTATGCATGCACCTAGAACCTACTGTCATTACCAGGCCTTCTTACTCTATATTCTTTGAAAATTGTTTAAATAAAGTAGCTAAGTATACTTTGCAGATACAAATCGGTTTCACAATAAATGATACAGAACATTATGTATAGTTCAATACAAGAAAATACTCACCCATGACTCTGTCGTTGGTGGACGGTGACACGACATCTCGACATGAAGCATAAACCTTATCCACAAAGTCTTTCGACAGATAGAACTTCATATCAGTAACCATCTTATGTCCTGAAATGAAGTTAACAAATTGTTATCTTTTGTAGACTATAATCTGTAAATTAAAAAAAAAACCTTGCCTAATACATGATATAAAACAAATGCTCGTATAATTACAGATCAAATTGACAAATTAACACTATATAAAAAAAATATTGGTTCTGTGCCCATTGAGAATGTTTATAGAAGCATCATGAGTGTATTGCCACAATGTTGTACTAGTTTCCTTATCAGCAAATTTAGTAGAAGACAGCTGGAATTCATAATAACCATATTAAATAGATATGGATATCACCGGATAAATATCAAAGGAACATTACAGAATCAGAAATACGAAAGAACAGTGGTTGAGATAGAAGTGGAACTGGTGCACAATGACTAGAACAAGCACAACTAGAGAACAATGGAAGAGCACTAGAAAGAACTCTAGTGCTGGTTTGTTTTTATTTGTATTAGATATGAAGATTACGAGATACTGTAGATTATGTAGACAATTTTGATATTGTAATTATTCTGTTGCAGCTGGGCTTGTGGTCAGCCCTCCTAGAAAATTTTACCTGGTCTTTGAGGCTGTTTTTGTAGCTTGCAGAGCCACAGAGCCATCACAGAGTTAACACTGAATGTTACGTAACAATTAGAAAGGCATTTCTTGAATAAGAACTGAAGAACACCTAAATAGAATGTTGAGTTACAGTAATGTTTTTGGGCTCTTGAAGATGTTATATCCATCTGAGATACCTAGCTCTCATGTATAAATACTGAAGTTATGAAAGTTGACAGTAAAGCATTTTAGTAAAACACAGTGGATTCAATAGACAAGTGCTGAAGACTAAAATATGAAGGACGCAGAGAAAATTTGTTGGGAGACCATGGAGGAGACAATCTGGGAAGGTACTGGAGTACAGTTTCGAACAGTATCAATATAATAGAAAGTGAAACAGCAGAACCTTCATGGGCCAGAAAGAATTACCGGTAGTTATTAAAACCAACCGTTTTATAGAACAGTGTGTCCAAATGACTGGAGTGTCTCAATGCACTGAAATGAGTTAGTATAAACATACCCATATTTATTTATTTATTTATTTTGAACCATTTAACAATTGTGAACCTATATACACTATTAGCAAATACTGTATTAGAAAAAAAATATTTACTGTACAGTATTGTAATAACTTATGTATACTGTATAACGTACTGTAATGTCCACCCACCAACAGCCTTCAGCACTCCCATGAAAAAATGTTATTGCAAACATTAAACCCCTTTTAGTGAATTTGTTACATAATTACAGTACGGTCATACTTTAATTTTCTCTTAATTGCCAATTCTGCTTTGAAGTGACCTCATTAAGAGCTCTATCAGGGTTCAGTTTGACTACCCGCCTGTGCTGCCAACATTATTAATACAGTACACATGTTTCTCAATTAACAATACAGTACTAAATAAAATACAAAATGCCTTATTATAATATGTAACTATACTTGGGCCTAACTTGTTTTCCCTATTCATAATTAGTGATGCTGTACTGTACCTTTTTTAAGGGTGTGTGTAGCAGGAACATGGTTTACTGGTACGAGGAAATCTGTCTGTTGTGGAGAGCATGTCATATAACAAAAGGGTATGCGAAGATTTCTCATGCACGCTGGACATCGCACAAGAAACATCTTCATCATGTCTAGGGATCGGGACAATGCAAGCGCCTGCTGGTCATTGCAACATGTATCAAGTTGACCATCTTCAGCCACTGAAAAAAAAAATCAATTGGAAAACTGTCAACAAAAGTTAAACCAATGTGATCAAATGGTATATGTCCCTATCAAAAAATACAATAAAAGCCTTTCTAAACCCTTTTAGAGTATTTAATTATTAGAGTATTATTTTATTTTAAAGTACTGTATTTAAAGTATTTCTTACCATAATGTACTTCATCACTGAGCTTGCCTGATAAACCCCACACCTCTAGACTCGAATCTTTCCACATATAGAATTAGGGTGTATTTGGTCTTCATCTTTCCCTTTAAAAGTCATATTTTGTCCAGTCTTTCTTACTAACTGGTATTACTCTCGGCATCTTTCCTGCACACTCAATCACTCTGAACATACTTACTAACTAATACAATTACTGCTATACTAATGGATAACATTTTATTTTGTACAAGAAAACGTCTATAACGTGAATTCTTATCTGGTCTATGTACAGTATGTGTATAATTTTCGTTATAAAATTATATAATTTTAATATACTGTACAGTATGGGGGAAAATATAACATTTGCTTCAAACAAAATTACAAAAGTCACAAAAGTACACTAACTAGAAAAAGCTTACACTAATCTAAAAAAAAAATTATATATTTATTAGATATATCTAAAAGCCAACACTTACTGAATTCCGAAACCAGTTCAGGACATGTTTGAGTGAGTATTCCAATCCCTGCCTTGGAGATAGGCTTGGCAGTGCCATTGTAGGCGCAGTTGAGGTGACCCCGCTCACTTTTCCCACAGTGATCATACCAAATGCATTGACCACACTCGACCTGTGGATGGATGAAAGGTTATCGTTTAGAAGCATTCCTGTTGGTAGCCTTAAGATTGATCAGTATTTAAACCACAACAAAGGTAGTTATCGGTGCTTTTTAAAGGTTTTTAACTTCCCCCCCCCTGGACACGTCGAAGAATGTGGGGGGGGGGCGGAATGCATACGGGACGAAGTCCTCAACATTCGAGGACTTCGCCCTCGAATGTTAACAATTACGAATGATATCGTATTTGCAAAAGGGAGTATTTTTCTTTGTGTTAACATCTGTGGTTCTTGTGATAACACCAATGTATAGCCTATCTAGCATTTAAATGATGCTAGATTTAGCATCATTTAAATGCTAAAATGATGATGTTTATTATGTTTTATGATGTTTGATGATGATGTTTTATCAACATTATTGTATGAAGGATGGTCGACGTATGACCCCTTGCCGGACAGGGGGGTCACTGAGAAGTTACATTAAGTCCCATTCACGTCATAAAGTGAGACTTTATGCTGCACTTTACCCCAAACACCACACATCTAAGACTTCAGCCTTCCCGGCTGCCTCAATATAACTCCCAGTTCTCACGTCTTTCCATTACCTTCCCTGGCGGGCACATGACCTAGTTTCAGGTCACCGGGGGCTCGCCCTCTCACTACTGCCGCCACCATCACAGCCACCCAATTAAATGGCCCAGGAAAATTCTCCACCGACAGTCCAAGCAATTTCCTGGCTGAAGTGAACCACAACAGTCCAACATCACCACTCAATTTTGAATTTTAAATACTAATTTCTGCAATTACTCTTACGTGCCTGTCAACCTGGACAGTATAGGCAGCAGGGCTCACAGCATCACCAATTTTAATACCATCTTATCAAGGAAAATGGTCAACACTGCCGGCAGCATATTGTGAGAGAGAGCCCACAACTTGCTCCGCATGTATTACAATAATTATAATAATATGTGTCAACACCCGCTCCTCCCAGATCATTATCCATCCCATCACCACTACGACACTCTTGGTCTAGACAACTAGGCTAAGGAAAAGTTAGAAGAGATTATTAGGTTATTGTGATACTCCAACAATTCCATTTCAAGCTGGGAAAATTGGTGACCCGGAGAGCGTAAAAAAAGATCCTTTACTGCTAGGATCTACTCAATAAAACAATTTATTGAGTGGGAAACTTATATAAATATGGGAATAAATGGGAAAATTGAGTTTATAAATGGGAAAATAGGTCCCATTTAAATTATTGGGACCTATTAACAATTTTAAGGCTGTATTTTCTAGAGCGCGGGTGGGAGATGCATAATAATTTAGACTTGGGAAATATTAGAGGGACTGGTTCCAAATCGGCACACGGAAATATCACATGAGACCTGGAAGCATTGCGAGGATGTGCAAAATAGCTCAATTAAAAAGCTATCTTCAAAATTTCCTTAAGCACGTTGAGAGAACAACCAACATTAGAGGCCCAAGACGGTTTCAACGCTCCCGCTACACGTAAGGAACATAACTGGCCGACCTCTCATGGTGGTCAAAATAGAACGCGATAAACACCTCCAAAGGATACCTGACCAACCAGGCTGTGATTCATACGTCAGGCTGCGAGCAACCGCGTCCAATAGCCTGGTTGACCAGACGACCAACAGGAAGGGCTGGTCAGAAACCGGCCCGCGGGGACGATGATCCTCGGAAATCCCACAAGGTAGGTAGCTTTGTGGGGAAAAACTTTTATTCAATTTCTTCAATTACATTTTTTTGTATTTCTTATTTCTGGTATGAGTATTTTAGTTTTCCTATATCTGAATGTTTATTTTTCTGTATGATTCTACCTTCAATATCTCCACGTTGGAGGGCCGAAGATTAAGAATGCTGGATAGTTTATTATTTTGACTGACTGGTCACTGCTGTTTTTGACAGGTGTGAACAGCTGATCTCTTCCCAATCCGTTAAGTGGGTCTTTTCGCAATCATTTGGCAAGTGGCGTGTTGCAGTTTACAATGCACAGTTGCCAGATATTGTCATCACAGGCGAATACAATATCAAATTGAAATACACATCACTGTTTCACAACCCCAAGTTGGATTTAGAGTCAAGAGTGGGAGTGTGGTTTGGTGCTGGGTTAAAGTTAACTCCTGGAGGTTATTTAAGGTCGCCACAAGAGCTTTCCAGTTAACCTGCAAGAATAAAAATAAAAATGTAGAATAGAACCAGTGAAGAGCAGGGGTGCCATAGGCACAATCAGAGAACACACTATAAACATCGGAGGTCCGCGGTTGTTCAACATCCTCCCAGCGAGCATAAGAAATATTACTGGAAGAAACGTAGACATCAAGAGAAAACTAATATTGTTTTCTAAAAGAAGTGCCGGACCAACCGGGCTGTGGTGGGCCTGCGGGCCGCTCCAAGCAACAGCCTGGTGGACCAAACTCTCACAAGTCAAGCCTGGCCTCGGACCGGGCATGGGGAGTAAAAGAACTCCCAGAACCCCATCAACCAGGTAAGACTGAACATAGTTCGAGTCTCATTACACTGAAAAGCATAACATATCAATAATAATAAATGGTAAATAGGATTCTATACTAGTAAATATTAACAAATACATTCAATAAATTCGCCACACTTTCATTATCAGTAATTTAAAACATTCACCCTCTAATCTTAATGCGAACAGTGATATGCTGCTTGATGATCTCCAAGAACCCCAAAACATCTCCAAGAACTCTAAAATAGTGCTGAGATCAGTGACGAACTACGTGGTGGTAAAGCTAAACAGTAAACAGGTTCTAGGAGCAACTAGTAAAAACTGTGACGTAGAACATGGCGACGTCACTGCCCGCTACCCCACCTTCCCTCTCTCCTAGATCAACACTCCCAACGCCTCTAGTCCCCCTCTCAGCCTCCTGCATCACCAACATACAACTGCTAAAAATAATTGACTTTCAGTGAAACTATAAAAATATTTTCGCGTGATGTGATATTCCAATTAATTAACGCTCAACTGAAAACATTTGGCAACATCTGCATAGTGAACAAATGACATCATTCTGAACCACGCACCAGTGACGTCACAACACTGCCAACTCCAGCCAGTTTTTCAAAAGCATTCATTAATATTTTGTCCATTAATATTCAGCATTCATTAATATTATGGGCATAGAATGTATATAAAGAAACTAGTTAAATTTGGTGTCCGTATAAGCCGAGCGTAATTGAATGCTTTACAAGAAATATAAATGTGTAGATAATTCGTCTGCAGTTGGCATTCGTGACCATGACGTAGTGCTGAGTTCAACTTCCCTTTTCCCGGTGACGTGATGCGACCTTCGGCAACTACCCCTCACTGCATATGGTAAATATTCTACTGTCAATATATCCCGTCAAGAGGGAAGAAATCCGTGACACGTCGCTGTCCCCCAACCCAAGAGGAAGGTTGTAACCCGCGTGGTCACTCAACCAATTACTGACCAGACCCAAGAGTATTGGACTTGACTGAACGCATAACATCCAATACGCTACGCTCTCCAAGAAAAGTTATTATTTAGTTACTGAATTATTTAGAAAAGTTACTGAGAAGTAATTATTTTTGGCAGGGTTCAGGCACTCAAGTGTGCGTACCAGTGAGCGATTATCTAACAGCGATTATGGGAAACTCAAGTTATTTCCCGCCTACTAGCCATGTTGCACCTGTCGCGTCATAATTGAACTTTCCCCTGACCTTCGAACTCTGTGGGATGTGACCTTAAATTTGTGGATGGAGGTGGCTTCTACAACTTCTTTCTGTGCATTTCACCCGTTTACCACCCGTATAGAGGGGTACGCGAAAGAGATTAACGTCACCAAAGTACCAGTAATTATATCCGTGACATCGTCTTCCTTCCCTCCCCCTTGATAACAGTAGAAATATTGGTTATCATTACTGATTTTCTTCCCTCAATAACTCCAACAATTTGCACTTTTGGCTCCCTTACTCATTCATAAACTTCAACAAATGTGCTAACCCTACATCTCTGTTTATGAACACACTTTTTTTATTTACTGTGGTGCACAGTTGGGGGGAGGGGTCTAAAACCGGGGGTGTGATAGCAATTATTATGATCTATTACCTAGATTTGTTTTAGTTTCGTGCCTTGAGAGGGATTGGCGGGGGCCCGGATACGGAAAGCACACACAAACAGCTTTGTTGATCAGTTTTAAGCGGGTAGAGCTGTGTGTTCTCTTTGAGATGAAGCACGAAGTCATATTTCTTTGTCGTCGTTGATTGATTGAGGGGCGACGATGATTGAGGGATCGGAAAATTTCTTTATCACACTCAGTATTCCAGTGACTGCAGAATCCAACCTCCTATCTTCAGGTTGTCTTGAGATGATTTCGGGGCTATATAATTCACTATAATTGGAACACTATAATTCACCGATTCCTCGGTGAATTATAGTGTTCCTCCGGTGAGCTGTTAATTGTGAGATCAGTGGAGGGTGTAAAGCCGAGGCTCTAATGTAGAGAATGAACAAATCCACAAGGGCCGTGACGACGATTCGAACCTGCGTCCGAGAGCATCTCAGACGGTGCCTTAATCGACGAGAGGGGGAAGGGTGCTCTCGGACGCAGGTTCGAATCCTCGTCACGGCCCTTGTGGATCTGTTCATTTGATGCATTACGTAATTGTGATTTCTGTGTGTTTATGTACAGAAATTTATTTGATGTACAATCTTTAAAAAAAAAAATGATTTAAGCCGTATAATAGATATACCGATTAACCAACATTAGGAGTATAATATATTGAACAATAGTTTTTGATTAAGTACAAATATTAGCATCTTTACTTCAAGCTGACATTCATAAGATTTGTGTGTGTGTTTAGGTAATATTGAAGAGTTTATAGTTTCAGGATTTACGGTGTTGAATCATAATAGAGATTGATTGATTGATAAAGAATAAGCCACCCAAGAGCAAGAGCATTCACGGGCATGAATAGCCCGTAAGTGGTAGGAATAGAGAATAAGTGTG